AGAATTTAAATTCTCGAGAATTCCCTCAGACGCGGCATTCACATGTGCTGATTACATCGACAATTCTATTTCATGAATTCGATAATTCTCGACGAAGTTCTCACAAAGCAGCGCAAAATACATTTGTAAAAAAGTTTTTGTCCCCTGATGTTACAGTGAGCCACTAATCGATCAACCTAAACTATTATTTACAAAAATTTTGTGACCAATTTATAACTTATGTGGTATTCGTTGTCCAGGCATTGAAATATGCAGCAGATAATGGGATAGTTTGTAAAGGTACACATTATGGCGACAACCTAGCCCGCTGAGAGGATGCGCCCTGCATTCAGCTTCGTTTCAGAATGACCTATGAGGTATTCGTTGCAGGCGTTTAAATACATTTGCAACAGTATTATGGGATAGGTTGAGAAGGTACACACGTGTCCCCGATTTCGGAGAGATTGGAGACTCGGTTCGCCTGGGTGAATATCGGTCCGGACTTTGATCACCACACCGTATTTGAGATGCTCCAACTGGCAGTACACCGCCTTGCTCAGGTTTACGGTTACTGCATAAGGTACTGTGAAGCTCTAGAANGGTGACCAGCCGATGTTCAAGTAAGTGCTCTTATTCTCCCAGACGAGTCTCGTATCACCTATGAGGAATTCGTTGTAGGCCTTTAAATACATATGCAACAGTACCATGGGATAGGTTGGGAAGGTACACATGTGTCCCCGATCCCGGAGAGATGGGAGGCTCGGTTGGCCTGGGTGGATATCGGTCCGGACTTTGATCACCACACCGTATTTGAGATGCTCCACTTGGCAGTACACCGCCTTGCTCAGGTTTACGGTTACTGCATAAGGTACTGTGAAGCTCTAGAATTGTATATGCGGTTTGGACGAGCTCGTCGGGACGCATCACAGTCTCCATTACCATTCGCTCAATATTCAAGCCCGTATTAAGCTCGTATATTATTCCAAAGCTATTATCTGGCTACACAATGGTCCAGAACCTGATAAAGACGAATGAGATCCATCAAATGGAATGCACACTTTACCGTTTGCCCTATCATAAACAATCAAAAGTACTGCCATAAAACAAGCTGATGGGTAATCCACTAGACACGTGATGAACTGGGAGCAATCCAATTTTTTTCCGTACCAATTCACTTGATGGTTTCGATTCACAAATGCTAAACAACAGTACCGTGTTTTTGACGTGAAGGATGGAGCTCTTCAGGCGTTAGTCACTCCAGCCTTAAAAGCCCAGCATTCAAAGTTCGCTTCAGGATCGTAGTGGAGTATTGAATGCGAATGTGATCTATACAATGACTAGCGAATTCTAGCCAATGTTCACTTCAGTGGTTTTACCGTCCCAGATGAGAAGATACCAATTCACCCACAGCGGAGGGATGGAAGGCCGGGACGGCCTAGGCGGATATCAATCCGGGATTTGATCGTTTTCGACATAAGACTATGAAAATCTCTCTATTTTCGAAAAATCCTTTGAATGTCGTAGCATTCTCCTGATGAATTTTGATATTTCACCAAGCACAAACCAGATTATAGAAACGCCATTGCAAGTACATCTGAAGATCATTTCTCTTCCTCAAATTTTCTGATCTAACGATTGAATGATAGCTAAGTATATCGAATAGAAGTTGAGTGCGTGGCGCATTCTGGAAATCTGATCTTACTTTGGGTAACTTCGCCAAATGAAAACTATACAAAGTAACTACTTTGAAGCGCTTCGGATGAAAAGCTTCGTCACTGAGATTAATAACTTTTACAAAATGACTAGTTTTGTAATCAACACTTTCTACATTGCACGACCCATCCCTGGGTTCCGCAGGGAAAGACGAATTAATCAGTCAGTTAACAGTCATTTATTCTACTCCAAAACGAAACTCAGATCGCTCAGAGCCCAGGATTTCTTCGAAATTCTAAAAATTTCACCCTCGCTCATGCCTTTTTTTGGTCCACCAACCCAAACGTTGAGCAGAATCCTTTGCTCCTGAGCAGCTATTATTTCCTCTCATGGACACGTAAGAAGTAATTTTCCGGGCTACACCGCGCAATCAATCAGCTTTGCCATTCGTCATGGTGCTTCCGACTGATGAGTTTTGCCTTCCTCCCTACGGCTACCCCCTTATATTGCTGCGCATAAATATTGGTTGTTCAGATGAACACGTTCTAAAGAGCTACTGGAAAAGATCAAAAAAAGTCTTCCGAAGAATGACGTATGAAGCAATCAAATCGCCCTACACGTACTGCCTACGCAGGTACATACGTACATACACATATATCACGCGAAAGGGCCAGTACATCGAAGGGCTCATAAAAACCCACAGATCTCCCACATACTGCAAGAACTTCTTGTTTATTTGCTTTTTAATTCACCTCTTCATTTATTTGTTTACTTGGTCACTTGTTTATCTATATTGCTTCATTCGGGAAACACCACCTGCAACAAAAGCAAACCACTTCAGCTCCTTATCTATGTTATCAGAGGGCCGCTCACGCGAGTTCATTAATGAATAAATAAATACAAATAAAAAATAAGTAAGAAATTAATATTAGTTCAGAATAATCTCGCTCGGGTATTGCATCAGCTTCAACAATAAACATACTCCACTTCAACTAATCTATACCATCACAGAGGCGCTTCGGCGAAAGTATAAAAAAGCAAATAAACAAGTAAACAGACAAATAAAGCTCGGATTCGAATAAAATCAGTCACGTGAACTACCGATGAAGAGAAAAAAACAAAATCCACTCCAACTTCCCACCTATTACATTAGAGATGTAGTCATCCCCAATAAATAAATAATTACCTGAACAAATAAATAAATAAAATTTGAATTAAATCACTCAGTGTTCAGGATAGATCACTCGATACTAGTCCCACATCGTTTTAGCAATCTTGGAGACGTGCCACAAGACTTTCTTGGCCTATGTAAGATACGACCCCTCACTTCGCACGCTAGGTAAGTTGGTGCTTCTGGCTTTTGCTTTACAAAAAGACGGCACTATGAGGCACAGTTAATCTTGGAAGGTGTCCAAAATTAACAACTTGAACAATTTGAGTAAGCTAAAATGTACAAAGGTCAAGATTATAGGTAATTCGCTGGTAGCTGCTTGAAGCCAATGTACAGACATTGGTCTAAATAACAACAAAGGCATACTACTACCACCGACATACCCTGTGGGCCCTAGGTAATCGGTCTCGTTTCGTCCGTTGTTTTGACGAGAATCACATTGACAGCAATCTCACGACCCAATCCTCAAAATATGCCCATGACTTACTAGTCTATGCATGGAAAGCTCAAGGGAACTCAAAGTTTCCCTTCCGAAATGATCGGTGCTGACAATTCCCCTGGGATGCGCCATGTAGATGATCCCAGTTTAGATTAGTAGAAGTATTGGAACGATAGATACATCAAAACCGTGACATTTGGGAATCTCATCGATCGTACCCGAGTAAGTACCATTGTACTCCTTCACTAGGACTTCATGTTCTTTCAATTCAAAGGGAGAAGGATAGCATCGACAAGACGAATTTCAAAAACTGCACGATTGCACTCTCTGAGACTTTCAACACCGTATGATCGGGCCTTTCCATAATCAGTTTTTCAATGAGCTATCAAATAGTTCCGAATACTGAAAAATGAGTTAGGAGCGAGCTTGACGTCTCCGACTGGCCGTCGGAGCTTCAATTTGCTCAAGTTCCCAGACCCATACCCCTAGCATGGACCAGACGTGACCGGAAATCTTACCAAAACTAACAACAAAAAAATAACTATGAAATTGATGAAGGTTATTCTTTTTCACGATTCCTCTAAACATCTGGACTAGTACCAATCGAGTTCTCAGCAGACTGTTCCCATATCATATGCTCATATCTTCACAAAGTCCCAGGAGCTCTGATGTTCTGCTCAGACCCTATTCATATGAAAGAATACTGGACGAAGAAACGGAGCTCGTGAAAGGGATATTGCCATGAATAATCCACGAAGCACGTGAAGTGGTCGTCTTTGATCGCTGCTGTATGGTTTCTTGAAGGAAATAGTTGATCAATGTCCCTTCAGGATTACCAAGCCCTTGAGAGCTTTGTTTGAAAGAACAAAGTGCACGCCAAATGGAGCTTCCTTCGAAAGTTTTCAATTATATTTTATATTGGCCACCAAAACTTCAGCTATAATTGCTTTCTATGG